ACTACTATACTTTCATACATTCCCTTCTTTGCCTCCATAGATAATGTTTTTTGTCTCCACATATACCTCAATGCACCACTCACCTTTTTTACCTCATCAAATCTATGATTAACCTCATCCTTCATAAATCCATCCGCTGACACGTCAACTCTCAAGTATCTGAAAACATTCACTTCTTCCACACTCCTCCCCAATTTGATACCCAATTTTTCTTTATCTAAATCATTTGATGCCATCATCACCTTAGTCTTTTCCATGTTCACTTTCAACTTTCTACCTTTACACACATTCCCAAACTCATCCACTAACCTTTGCAATTTTTCTTTAGAATCTCCCATGAGCACAGAATCATCAGCAAAAAGCAACTGTGTCAATTCCCATTTTGTATTTGATTCCCCATAATTTAATCCCACCCCTCTCCCAAACACCCTAGCATTTACTTCTTTTACAACCCCATCTATAAATATATTAAACAACCATGGTGACATTACACATCCCTGTCTAAGACCTACTTTTACCGGGAAGTAGTCTCCCTCTCTTCTACACACCCTAACCTGAGCCTCACTATCCTCATAAAAACTCTTTACAGCATTTAGTAACTTACCACCTATTCCATATACTTGCAACATCTGCCACATTGCTCCCCTATCCACTCTACCATATGCCTTTTCTAAATCCATAAATGCAATAAAATCTCCCCTACCTTTATCTAAATATTGCTCACATATATGCTTCAATGTACACACTTGATCTACACATCCCCTACCCACTCTAATACCTCCTTGCTCATCCTACATTCTATTTTACCTCTAATTCTTTCAATAATAACCCTACCGTACACTTTTCCTGGTATACTCAGTAAACTTATTCCTCTACAATTTTTACAATCTCTTTTGTCCCCCTTCCCTTTATATAAAGGGACTATACATGCTCTCCACCAATCCCTAGGTACCTTCCCCTCTTTCATACATTTATTAAACAAAAATACCAACCACTCCAACACTATATCCCCCCCTGCTTTTAACATTTCTGTCATGATCCCGTCAGTTCCAGCTGCTTTACCTCCTTTCATTCTACGCAATGCCTCATGCACCCCCCTCCCCACACTCACATCCTGTTCTTCTTTACTCCTAAAAGATGGTATACCTCCCTAGCCAGTGCATGAAATTACCGCTTCCCTTTCTTCGTCGACATTTAAAAGTTCCTCAAAATATTCTCGCCATCTACCCAAAACCTCCATCTCCCCATCTACTAACTCCCCCACTCTGTTTTTAACTGACAAATCCATTCGTTCTCTAGGCTTTCTAAACTTGTTTAACTAACTCCAAAAATTTTCTTATTTTTCATTAAAATTTCTTGACAGTGCCTCTCCCACTCTATCATCTGCTCTCCTTTTGCACTCTCTCACCACTCTCTTCACCTTTCTTTTACTCTCTATATACTCTACTCTTCTTATAACACTTCTGCTTTGTAAAAACCTCTCATAAGCTAACTTTTTCTCTTTTATCATACCCTTTACTTCATCATTCCACCAATTACTCCTCTTTCCTCCTGCACCCACCCTCCTATAACCACAAGCTTCTGCCCCACATTCTAATACTGCATTTTTAAAACTATTCCAACCCTCTTCAACCCCCCCCCCCCTCCACTACTCATACTTGCACCAGCCCACCTTTCTGCCAATAGTTGCTTATATCTCACCGTAACTTCCTCCTCCCTCAGTTTATACACTTTCACCTCCCTCTTACTTGTTGTTGTCATTTTCCTCATCTCCCTTCTACCTCTTACTCTGACTGTAGCTACAACTAAACAATGATCCGATATATCAGTTGCCCCTCTATAAACATGTACATCCTGGAGCCTACCCATCAACCTTTTATCCACCAATACATAATCTAACAAACTACTTTCATTATGTGCTATATCATACTTGTATATTTATTTATCCTTTTCTTCATAAAATATGTATTACTTATTACCAAACCTCTTTCTACACATAGCTCAATTAAAGGCTCCCCATTTACATTTACCCCTGGCACCCCAAATTTACCTACTACTCCCTCCACAACATTTTTGCCCACTTTAGCATTGAAATCCCCAACCACCATTACTCTCACACTTGGTTCAAAACTCCCCACACATTCATTCAACATTTCCCAAAATCTCTCTCTCCTCTACATTTCTCTCTTCTCCAGGTGCATATATGCTTACTATAACCCACTTTCCACATCCAACCTTTATTTTACTCCACATAATCCTTGAATTAATACATTTGTAGTCCCTCTATTCCTGCCATAACTTATCCTTTAAAATTATTGCTACTTCTTCTTTAGCTCTAACTCTATTTGAAACCCCTGACCTAATCTCATTTATTCCTCTCCACTGAAACTCTCCCACCCCCATCCCCCACCCTCAATATCTCCCACCCACAGCATCCCCCAACCTCAATATCTCCCACCCTCAACCTCCCCCACCCTCAACCTCCCCCACCCTCAACATCCCCCCATCCTCAACATACCCCACACTCAACATCCCCCCACCCTCAACATGCCCCACCCTCAACTTCCCCCCCCCTCAACCTCCCCCACCATCTCTGCTCCAAGTGTGTAAGTACATATACACTTTATATAAACAGTTTTTATATATTTCTTATTTATAAAAACATTGTTTCAGCATTTTCTTTAGAAAACTAGTGATCTACTGCAGTTAGCCTCAAAAATACTACATTTTTTCTTATAGTAAGAGCATGGGAAGATACTATAGTAAAATTGAGACAAAAATTTTGGAAGCTTCTGCCGCTGCCTTTGCCACCATATTATGGCCTATTTTATACATTCTAGAGTATATATCATGTTTCTGTGTTAATTATATTGCTTATTATATTATATTAGATGAATTGTGATAGATAAATAAGCTGTCCAGTTGATAATAGCGTCATATTCAAGTATTTTTTCTCGTATCTCCAGAGTGCAGGAACGGATTAATGGCTTTTCAATTAATTTAAATGAGGAAAATTAATTTAATATACAAGTAAGTTGAGTTATGAGCTAGCTCCTCAAACGGATTAAACTCGTAAGTCAACGTTCTACTGTAATTTGGGTTTCTTGTAATATCCTGTAAGGCCTCTTGTTCCCTTTGTACTTCTTCTGTTTGGTATGAACTGTGATGTAGCACACTTTTGGCAAAACAGTGAGTAAAAGATGTTGAATGTTTCCTTCTTTGGGTCACTCTGCCTTAGTGAAAGATGGCTGCTGATGTAAGAAAAAACTTCAATGAACTTTTCTTTAACATCTGTGTTGCTTGAACACTTCATAATTATTCTGTTATTACGCTTATCCATCAATGATAAATCCACTCACTTTTTAATTTTTTTTTTTAATATGCTCGACGCCACCCACCGAGGCAAGGGTGACATGAAAAATAAACACTTTCACCATCATTCACACTATCAATGTCTTGCCAGAGGGACACAGATACGATGGTTTAGAAGTCTCTCTAAACAGCAAGTATCCCAAGCCCCTCCTTTAACCCTCTGACTGTTTCGGTCGTATATATACGTCTTACGAGCCACCGTGTATGACGTATATATACTCATAAATTCTAGCGGCTTCAAATCAAGCAGGAGAAAGCTGGTAGGCCCACATGTGAGAGAATGGGTCTGTGTGGTCAGTGTGCACCATATAAAAAAATCCTGTAGCATGCAGTGCATAATGAGAAAAAAAACTCTGACCGTGTTTTTGGATTAAAACACCAACTTTACGGTGTATTTTCATATAGTATTTATGGTTATATTCTCGTTTTCTTGGTCTCACTTGATAGAATGGAAAATGTATTATAGAAATAGAGGTGATTTTCATTGGTTTTACTATGAAAAGAACCTTGAAATGGAGCTCAAAGTAGAGGAAATGTTTGATTTTTGCCAATGTTCAAAAGCAAACAAATGATTTATTTGTCCAATAAATGTCCAACTAGCCATTCTAATATACAGTCATGAATGGGTTGACATTATTTATACAATTATTACAATATTGCAGTAGTCTGCATAGCAGTAAATCTTCTATTTTTTGTTTGAATAAAAATTCAAAATAGAAAGCAAGAGTAATATCAGAGAGACCTGGAGAAACGGCTGATAAACAAAGAGAATGTTATTTTAGAGCCAGGAATATCTGCACTGTTCATTCTGGACCCTATTTTAAAATTGACCTATTTTTTTAATTTGTGTGAAATTAGCCAAATTGCAAATTTCTGACCACGTTATTAGGAAGTTGAAATCAGTAAACGGGCAGTTTCTTGCACTCAGTCGATAGAACAAATGGAGTTCTAAAGAAATTGCTATGAGTTTGGTGTCGACTGGAACAATGGAATTAGCCAAAAATAGGGCTCAAAGTGGGCGAAATCGCCGATTTGTAAATATCGCCGAGGTTGCTAACTTTGCGAGAGTGTAATTCTGTAAGTTTTCCATCAAATTTCGTTGTTTTGGAGCCATTACCATCAAGAAAGATTCTCTATCATTTCATGAGAAAAAATAATTTTTTTTTTTTTTCAAAAATTTTACGACACCAGGAGGCACCTCAGGATTTGGGGTTGCGACAGTCAAGGGGTTAAAGCGCAGGCATTGTACTTCCCACCTCCAAGACTCAAGTCCGGCTTACCGGCTTCCCTGAATCCCTTCACAAAATATTACCTTGCTCACACTTCTACAGCTCGTCAATTCCAAAAACCATTTGCCTCCACTCATTCCTGTCTAACAACGGCTAGATAAATGCGTCAAACTGCAAGCTGCCTACATCAATAGGGAAAAATCCATGTTATACTATTACATCATTAGAGACCCAAGCCTAATTGCTATTCACATCACCTGTTAACCTCGCCCTATAATTCCTTCATATCATATCAATCTTACTCTTCAATTAATTTAAAAATATTCTTTGTTCTCATCCAAATAATTTCCTTAATTATGTGGTACAGAAACTAAAGAAAAATGAATACCAATACATTACCTTCTTCTCTTCTCTCTCTCGCCATTCACAAAGCTCTTTGGATGCTAATTCTTCAGATGTCATACGAACCAAATTTGATGGAGAAATTGTTCCATTTAAGATCTTACGAAATAGCCCACTGTTCTTCGTGTCTTTAGTGTTAAAAAGAATGCTCCTGTAGCGAGATTTGTACTTGAATCCTACATCCTGAAGAGAAACATGGCAATTATTATTCCAGTATGGCATAAATATTAATCACTTTATTTTCAAAAATCTTCATTTTTGTTGCATATTTGTGATTAGCATCTTCTCAGAATTTCATCGAGTTATACGCAACTCATTTTTCACACAAAAATAATAGAGCTCTTAATCCAAAGAGCTGGAGCTATCCCTCCCTTCCTTGGATTACACCCAATTATCATCCATTCTACAGGAATGTAGAAATGGTGAAATGCAGTTCAGTAGTGAGAGAGGTAAACATTAAACAGCAGGACACTCAACTTACCAGGCCTAATAGTTGACTGGTGACCTGCCACAACACGACCCATTACACAAGATTTATCCTGCTCCCCATCCTTTGATTCTACCAACACAGTTTATTGAAAGTTAAAGGAATGGAAGATTTCTTTCCACTTCCCATTTAAGTTACTAACAATTAAAATACTTTAAACAATTATTTATAAAATTTTACTACAGATAAATTAAAAATTCATTTAATGTTTTACATGACAACTAAAACTATACTGACCTTCCCAAAGAACATGTATAGCTCCTTTTCTATAGTTTCAGCAAGATTTTTTATGTCGTCCTCATTCAGGTTATCAAATTCTGTTTTAGCATCCTGAAAGCGTTTAATAAGACAGTCTGCAAGGGTTTTTTTTATGTTGTTTCTAACTTCATTTGGCTCAGGTTTCTTCTTCTCTGTAGATGTAGGTTTGTTCTGAACCTGAAAATTAGAAGACATTTAGAAGACATAAAAAATACAGCTCTGAAATTTTATAAAGAACCAATTAAATTTACAGCAAATTCAAATTTGTCTTATTTATGTATGGTTTTTACAAACATTTTCGGCCAGTCTTTTTCTAAATTATAATTAGATACATTTGCATTGTAGATGCTTCTTACCAAACTAGTGAATCCAAGGCTCTGACAAAAAATTACAGCTTAGCAGCACTAATATCACACATTATATAATTACAAGTCTTTGAAAGAGTGGTGAGATGGTAAATTTCAAATTTTATGGAAAAGTATGACCTCCACAACCCAAGTCAACATGGTTTTACTTGCTAAACCATTATAATGAAATTACAGAGGCATAGGAAGAAAGCCAAAACACAAAAGTGGTCTACACAGACCACATTTCCTAACTTTTACTGACTTTTTTCACTAAGGTGTTTGAGGAGGTAGATCATGGTAATGCATATACATACTGTGTATATGGACTTCAGTAAGGCTTTCGATAGAGTTCCACATCAGAGGCCATTGAGGAAACTTCAGGCACACAGAATAGGAGGAGAAATATTTTCCTGGGTAGAGGCATGGCTGACAAATAGGCAGCAAAGAGTTTGCATAAATCGGGAGAAATCAGAATGGGAGTATGTCACAAACAGTGTTCCGCAATGGTCAGTGTTGGGCTCGTTGTTGTTCACAATTTACATAAAAGACATAGATGAGGGAATAAATAGAAACACAAGCAAATTTGTTGATGACACCAAAATAGGCTGGCCAATTCATTTTAATGAGGACACTAGAGCACTCCAGGATGATTTGAATAGACTGATGCAATGGACGGAGAAGTGGCAGATGCAGTTTAATATACACAAATGAAAAGTTCTAAATGTTGGACAGGAAAATAACCATGCCACATATAAACTAAATAATGTAGATCTTAATTTAATACTACTGATTGCAAAAAGGATTTAGGAGTTCTGGTCAGCAATAATCTAAAACCAAGACAACAGTGCATTTGTGTTTGCAATAAAGCTAATAGAATCTTTGGCTTCATATCTAGAAGTATAAATAATAGAAGTCCTCAGGTTGTTCTTCAACTCTATATATCCTTGGTTAGGCCTCATTTAGATTATGCTGCACAGTTCTGGTCACCATATTATAGAATGGATATAAATGCACTGGAAAACGTACAAAGAGGATGACAAAGTTGATCCCATGTATCAGAAATCTTCCCTATGAGGATAGACTGAGGGCCATGAATCTGCACTCTCTCGAAAGGCGAAGAATTAGGGGGGATATGATCGAGGTGTATAAATGGAAAACAGGAATAAATAAAGGGGATGAAAATAGCGTGCTGAAAATTTCCAGCCAAGACAGGACTCGCAGCAATGGTTTCAAGTTGGAAAAATTCAGATTCAGGAAGGATATAGGAAAGCACTGGTTTGGTAATAGAGTTGTGGATGAGTGGAACAAACTCCTGAGACCAGTTATAAAGGCTAAAACGTTGTGTAGTTTTGAAAATAGGTTAGATAAATACATGAGTGGGTGTAGGTGGGTGTGAGCTGGACCTGACTAACTTGTGCTACTAGGTCTGATGCTGTGCTCCTTCCTTAAGTGGAAGTGACCTGACTAGGTGGGTCATTGGGATAGTCCCGGGGAGGTGTCACGGACCTGCTTTACATGGGTCAGTAGGCCTGTTGCAGTGTTCCTTCATTCTTATGTTCTCAGTTGAGAAAAGTGAATATGGAGTGATAACCCATAAAATAAGGTCAAAAGGAATAATGGGAAAAGTAGGATAATGGATATTTAATTTTCTAATGAATAGAACACTAAGAGTAGTAGCAAACTAAGCAAACTCTAGCCTTACCAAAGAAAAAAAGTTCAGTACCACAAGGCATAGTCTTGGCATCTTTACTGTTTCTTAATTTCACAGCAGACATAGACAAAAAACACTTCCCGCAGCTTCATATCGTCCTTTGTAGATGAAACCAAAATTAGCAAAGGATACAAAACTCAGCAGGATCATCTCACAGAACAAAATGAACATGTAAATTACACTCGAGTATAATAATGTCAGATGACCTATTATTTAGAGAGCACCAAAGAGAAAAATATGTACTGCAACAGCCAGGAAAATGACAGAGTGGATAATGAGAACTTTAAAAAACAACAGAAAAAATGCTAATGGTGACATTATTCAAATCACTTGTGCTTTCTCTCATTTAGAATATTGTTTGATGTTGATGGCACCATTCAAGAGAGGAGAGATACGAGAGCTGGAAAAGATAAAGATCCTTTACTGCCTGCACAGAGCAAGTAAAGCACTTAAAACTAGGGAAATGCTTAAAAGTTCAGTGATACCTCGAATTTCGGCCATAATTCGTTCCAGAAGGCTGTTCGAGTGGCGTTACCAAATGAATTTATTCCCATAAGGAATAATGTAGGTAGTAGGTTGGTAGACAGCAACCACCCAGGGAGGTACTACCGTCCTGCCAAGTGAGTGTAAAACGAAAGCCTGTAATTGTTTTACATGATGGTAGGATTGCTGGTGTCTTTTGTCTGTCTCATAAATATGCAAGATTACAGGCATGTCTTGCTACTTCTATTTACACTTAGGTCACACTACACATACATGTACACGTTTATTTATACACACTCATCTGAGTTTTCTTTGATTTTATCTTAATAGTTCTTGGTCTTATTACTTTTCCTTTTATATCCATGGGGGAGTGGAATAAGAATCTTTCCTCCGTAAGCCATGTGTGTTGTAAAAGTCAACTAAAATGCCAGCAACAATGGGCTAGTAACCCCTTTTCCTGAAAAGATTACTAAAAAGAATAAGAAGAAGAAAATTGTCAAAGTGGGAAGTCTGAATGTGCGTGGATGTTGTGCAAATGATAACAAAGAGATGATTGTGGATGTTATGAATGAGAAGAAACTGGATGTCCTGGCTTTAAGTGAAACAAAGCTGAAGGGGGTAGGAGAGTTTCAATGGAGAGGAATAAATGGGCTTAGGTCAGGGGTTTCCAATAGAGTTAGAGATAAAGAAGGAGTAGCAATAATGTTGAAGGATAAGCTATGGCAGGAAAAGAGGGACTACAAATGTATAAATTCAAGGATTATGTTGAGTAAAATAAAGATTGGATGTGAAAAGTGGGTTATAGTAAGCGTGTATGCGCCTGGAGAAGAGAGAAGTGTAGAGGAGAGAGAGAGATTCTGGGAAATGTTGAGTGAATGCGTGGGGAGTTTTGAATCAAGTGTGAGAGTAATGGTGGTTTGGGATTTCAATGCTAAAGTGGGTAAAAATGTTATGGAGGGAGTAGTAAGTAAATTTGGGGTGTCAGGGGTAAATGTAAATGGGGAGCCTTTAAATGAGCTATGTGTAGAAAGAAATTTGGTAACAAGTAATACATATTTTATGAAAAAAAGAGGATAAATAAATATACAAGGAATGATGTAGCACGTAATGAAAGTAGTTTGTTAGATTATGAGTTGGTGGGTAAACGGTTGATGGGTAGGCTCCAGGATGTACATGTTTAGAGAGGGGCAACTGATATATCGGATCATTATTTAGTTGTAGCTACAGTTGGAGTAAGAGGTAGATGGGAAAAGAGGAAGGTGGCAACAACAAGTAAGAGGGAGGTGAAAGTGTATAAACTAAGGGAGGAGGAAATTCGGGCGAGATATAAGCGACTATTGGCAGTAAGGTGGGCTAGTGCAAAGATGAGTAGTGGGGGGGTTGAAGAGGGTTGGAATAGTTTTAAAAATGCAGTATTAGAATGTGGGGCAGAAGTTTGTGGTTATAGGAGGGTGGGGGCAGGAGGAAAGAGGAGTGATTGGTGGAATGATGAAGTAAAGGGGGTGATAAAAGAGAAAAAGGTAGCTTATGACAGGTTTTTACAAAGCAGAAGTGTTATAAGAAGAGCAGAGTACATGGAGAGTAAAAGAAAGGTGAAGAGAGTGGTGAGAGAGTGCAAAAGGAGAGCAGATGATAGAGTGGGAGAGGCACTGTCAAGAAATTTTAATGAAAATAAGAAAAAATTTTGGAGTGAGTTAAACAAGTTAAGAAAGCCTAGGGAAAGTATGGATTTGTCAGTTAAAAACAGAGTAGGGGAGTTAGTAGATGGGGAGAGGGAGGTATTAGGTAGATGGCGAGAATATTTTGAGGAACTTTTAAATGTTGAGGAAGAAAGGGAGGCAGTAATTTCATGCACTGGCCAGGGAGATATACAATCTTTTAGGAGTGAAGAAGAGCAGAATGTAAGTGTGGTGGAGGTACGTGAGGCATTACATAGAATGAAAGGGGGTAAAGCAGCTGGAACTGATGGGATCATGACAGAAATGTTAAAAGCAAGGGGGGATATAGTGTTGGAGTGGTTGGTACTTCTTCTTCTTCTTCTTCTTCTTCTTCCTCTTCCCCTTTCCTCTCCTTTTCTCCTCTGGGTTGTCTTTCTCTCTCCTGTCTCGTGTTTCTGTTCCTTCTTCATTTATTTTATTTCACCACTTCCCCTTTCATGCACCTCGGTGCGCTTGCTCTCCCTCTGTGGGTTTCTAGCTCTCTTGCAGTGCTCCCCTTCCTTTGTATTTGACTGGCTCGTCTTCCTTATTTCCGACTTCTACCACTACCACTACTACTACCTCTTCTTCTTCTACTACAACTACTGATGAAATTAAGACATGTGCGGCGTCTGGTTGTCTTTGTTGTGGACGTTTCGCCATCCAGTGGCTGGCTGGATGGCGAAACGTCTACGGTGGGGATGCCAGGGTGTTGTGCATGTGTCATTTCATCCTGTCGGTATCATATACAATTCTTGTACTACTACTACCTCAACCTCTTCCTGCCTATATATAGCCGTCCTGCTCCACCTCTGTTTGTGTGACTTTGTCAATGGTCCAAGTCGGACCGAAACGTCGTCGTAAGCTTCTCTCTTTTATGTGCGGGTTATTTGTGTATCGTTCCAGTCACGGTATTGTGCCTTTTTGTTATTTATGAAAGAGGGGAAGGTACCTAGGGATTGGAGGAGAGCATGTATAGTC